TACTGTTCGCTGAAATTAATGAGATGTGTGAAGATTCTCATGGCGACTGACACACAACTATTTTTTATTTTTTTGTCATTATGTGCTTCTTGATGGAGATATAGTTCTGTAGTGGAGCTTGTTCAAAAAAAATTTAAAAATTAATAGTTCATCCTAATTTCAAACTAATGTAAACATTAGATTTATGCCTGCATAAGAAGTACAAGCAATCTAACAAGAACAAATCAGGGTCCTTATGCCTGCATAAGAAGTAAGTTATCTAACATGAAATCACAACAGTTCTACATTCTCATTTTTAATTTACATATAGGATGAAATGCTTCGAGCACTCTAGTTGTAAATCAGAAAGGGGGAAATAAGAACTGCTTCTAGAGGATACAAAAGAGAATTAGACTTGCACTACTGCAAAAAGAATTACGGGACACCTGGCTGACTGCACTGTTCTACACTTGAATAGTGTCAGAGATGAAAAACACATGGTGATTAAAAATCTTAGCTTCATTGTGTCTCCATGGAGACAGTGTGGCCCTGTGTGGCATGCCAACGGAACTAAGCCTTCTGGTGCCTGTCCTAGACGGGTGGTGAGTGGGCAGAGGAAATTTAAAGTGTGAGAGGAACCGTTAGGGTCTTTAGCAAATAGGAAAGAAGGAACCTAATCTTTATTGTTAGGAAGATTCCATGGAAGAGAGTCACAGAGAAATTAATGTCATGTTTGCTAGTAATCTGTAGAAGATTGACTTGAGTCCCAGCCTCCGGCCTAGAAAAGTGTTAGATTTGAAAACTGCAGCTTTTCTCTGTAAAACCCAAGGAAAAACATATAGTTATCCTCTTGGCTATGGGAAGTAGACAAAATTGCCGGGGAGAAAATTGGGATCTTGGGGGTGGGGTGGGATGGGGGTAAGGGAGGAAGGGGAGAGAAAAGTGAGAAGGGGAGGATGGGGGGAACTTGGGGAAAAAGGATGATTGGGATAAAGGAAGGTTGGATAGGGGAGCACGGAAGCACAATTCTTAGTTAAGGGAGCCACCCTGGAGTTGGCAAGAGACTTGAACCTAGAGTGGCTCCCAGGAGCCCAAGGCAATGTCCCCAGTTAGTTCCTTGGGCAGCTGAGGATAGGGAACCTGAAATGACCCTATCCTATAGCAATACTGACGAATATTTTGCATATCACCATAGAACCTTCATCTGGTGATGGATGGAGATAGAGACAGAGACCCACACTGGAGCACTGGACTGAGCTCCCAAGGTCCCAATGAGGAGCAGAAGGAGGGAGAACATGAGCAGAGAAGTCGGGACCACGAGGGGTGCACCCACCCACTGATACAGTGGAGCTGATCTATTGGGAGCTCACCAAGGCCAGCTGGACTGTGACTGAAAAAGCTTGGGATAGGGCCAGACTCTCTGAACATGGCGAACAATGAGGGCTGATGAGAAGCCAAGGACAATGGCACAGGGTTTTGATCCTACATTATGTGCTGGCTTTGTGGGAGCCTAGCCAGTTGGGATGTTCACCTTCCTAGATATGGAAGGAGGGGGGAGGACCTAGGACTTACCACAGGGCAGGGAACCCTGACTGCTCTTTGGACTGGAGAGGGAGGGGGAGAGGAGAGTGGGGGGGGAGGGGGAGAAGGGTGGGAGGAGGAGGAGGGAAATGGGAGGCTGGGAGGAGGCGGAAACTTGTTTTTTTTTTTCCTTTTCTCAATAAAAAAAATTGTGCTGTCTTTCTGGTATTTAATGGGTTCTTGTATTTTTAAATGAAATCTTTAAATATCTTCAGAAAAACTACACAGAATTTATATTAACATTCACAGAAAAAACAAACAAACAAACGAATGAAAAACAAAACCAAACAAAGTGCTGGGGGGAGGTGAGGGAAGTTCCTGTTGCACACTTTGGGGGCAGATTCCTGGATCCTGCTGGGAAGAGGACTTCTGAAAGGCAAACGTGGCTGGAAGGCTGTGGTACAAGGACATTTGCTGGCAACAACAAGGTCTCTAGAATCAGAAAGAGCACACAGCTCTTCTTAAAATTGAAGGTGTTTATGCCTGAGATGAAACTGAATTTTACTTGGGTAAGAGATGCGCTTATGTGTATGAAGCAAAAAAAAAAAAAAAACCCTCACAGCGACCCCTGGAGGCAAGCTAAATAAAACCAGAGTTATGGGGGAAAGTTCCTGGGGCCCATGCCAGGGTTCGTGCCAAATTCCGAAGCAACCTTCCTGCAAAGGCCACTGGACACAGAATCTGTGTGATGCTGTACCCTTTCCTAATTTCAATAAATAAAAATGGATTTGTGTTCTTGTTTAAAGAAAAAGACATCACTTACATTTTTATATTTTATAAACATATTTTCTGATAAAAACATTTTTATTAAAACGTCTTTTGCATGGGCTGAAGAAGCAGTTCAGCAGTGAAGTAGTTCACTGACTTCGCTTACAGAGGACCCAGTTTCAATTCTTGGCACCCAAATGGACGTTGACAACTCTTTGTAATTGCAGTCCCAGGGAATGTGACACCAAATCCAGCCTCCACGGGCACCAACCACGCATGTGCTGCCTAGACATACATACAGATATCAACAGATCTTTTAAAAACCTACAAAAATAATTTTTAAAATGCTTACATGCAAATGATTGGTTCTAAACATTATATGTAGTAGCTTTAATGTAGTATTTATATTAACTTAAAATATAAATTGAGGAGGTGTTTATTTTAAAAAGTGGCATTCTCAGAATTCTCAAAAGACTTTCTCTTCACTTCAAAAAGAATACTTAATGGTCAAAAGTACTAAAATATATAGGAAAGGTACATTCAGTATCCCCATTCTTCAGTCAGCCTGAGGTTTGACAAAGAAGATCAGGCTTATTTTGGAAGCAAGATAATGTCATAGTTGTCAAGCTGCGTCCTGAGAGAACCTGCTGAGATTCCAAGGTTCCTGTGTCACAGAAGAAAATATTATACCAGGGACACAGGGCCCATAGATCATATGTCAGAGTAAATGACATGAAAGAAACAAAGACAGCACAGTAAAGGAACATTAAATTCGTGTTCCCTCACCCCAAAGCCAGTTCCTAACCACCACACTCCAAATATAAGTAGTTACATATCAACTACCTAACTTGTCAAACCCATCTCATTTAAGATGGCTCTTTCCCCAGAAAGAAACAACACTCTCCAACAATGTTTGGGGATGTGGAAATTACATGCATTGTCCTTGCAAGTGGCCAAACAGGTAAAATTCCTATACGACATTTAGAATGGCTTCAGGCCCAAATGCCTTTGTTTTCCTAAGTGATAGCAGGAATCAGACTCTGGCTGTAGTGTTCTAGGGAGTTTCCTTTAGGTTTCTGAGCTTTTATCAGCCTCACACACAGACTTAGTCACTTACGACTGAGGATGTGTGAAGGTAAATAATGGACAAATAGGCTGTGGGTTAGTTAGCCTGCGTTGAGATTGGAGGGAAGACAAACAATAAACACAATTAGAGAAAATGCAGATGCTTAGCAAGGCTGGCAGGACAAACAGCTCTCCAGTAAATCTAAACAAAACTCACAAAAGCAAGGCCCTATCGTGATAAAAGAATAGCAGTTTTCTACTGGACAGCTTTTTAACTAGTTTACTGAAATGTCAGGAGCACAACAGCACAGTTCTCACAGTATTCTCTTCTCCCTCAAGGTTCCTGACTTTTCAGCTCCCTCAGAAAACACTTGTGTCCATCTTGTATGCTATGCTCACTCTGGATTCTGCTCATTGATAGGCTTCAGTTCCCCTCTAGGTTTATGAAGATAAGTGTAGCAAATAAGTGGGACGTATGTGTCCAGTCCCTAGCTGCTCCTGGACAGAATTTGTTTAGAAGTCCTTACTTGTGAGCTGGGTTTCAGGGATTCAGCAACTGTCCTGCTGACACCTGTTGCAGCTGGAAGGAGTCAACTGTCTTGACCTACTGAACTCTCTTAGAAAGCCTGCAACCTGATCACCTAACAGAATGCAAAGTAAGAAGAGGAATCTGAAAAGCAAATATTCATCTCTAAGGCCAGGCATTGTAGAAAAGGTCAAAAGGCCTTCAATCCCAGCACTTGAGAGAGGGAGGCAGTCTGAACGTCTGTGAGTTCCAGGAGAGCTAGTTATGCGTAGAAACCCTGTCTTGAAAAACGTGTGTGTGTGTGTGTGTGTGTGTGTGTCCATCCTTCCATCCATCTGTCTCTAGGACCCAAAATGACACAGAACATGCAGATTGTGCTTATAATGTCACCATCTCAGAGAATATTGGCCTTAACTTAAACATCTTGAAAAAGTTTTAACTTGCTGAAAGATACAGGGCATCTACCATATACTCATTAATGGGAAACATTGTAATTTATATGAAAAAAATTAGATCACATTGCTATTATGGTAATCTGAAGAAATACATGTATGCAATGTGCGTAACAGAATCCATGTAATAATACTGATGAAACAAGCAGGTTTTGTGATGAATATCTTTGCACTAAATGCTTTCTTTCTGTATATGATATTAATAATTCTTACTGTACATAGAATTAGAAAAAAGATGAAATGACTCTTTGATATCTCTGTCAGTCATTTTCAGTGGCTCCATATCATTCCCCTCCTAGGATTCATCATCAAGTCCTATCACTTGTCATAAATGATTAAGAATATCTTCTGTGAGTTGACTTGAGTATTTATTACCTCAAAAATGTACCTGTTCTATGCCTTAAATTCTTGTAGACTTGTGTCCTCACTGCTCCAATTTAATGGATTAATTTGCTCAAAAACCATGTAAATATAAAATCTAACAAGAGAAATATAAATATGTTTTTTAGAAGTATGATATATATTTCAGACATTTCCAACAGGGTTACCAGAAAATAACTTCAATTAGTAGGGACTAAATGTTCCTGAATGTTCCTTCAATTAATTCATAAACATGGAAAAGACTAAATTACATTTTCTCTACTTAGCTACAGTTTGTCACCACTGAATAGAACATATGAAAATCTCACCTCGGCTGAAACATCTCCAGATTTTCCTCGGTAAGGAATTTCATACGCCTGCATCTGATGCTTAGTGAGTCCTGCAGATTTCTCAGCAAGTTCCCTCCAGCTTCTTCCGAGCTTAACAGCTGAGGTTAGAATAACAGCCTCTTGGAGAAGACGTTCCACTAATGCTTGGTGATCCATCTTTAGCAGAGCCTGTGGCAGTGAGTATCCATCATGCTTAGAAACAACTCATTGACTTTTTCCTTGAAACTATAGTTTGCATTATGTATTCTAGAAATTAAAATACCTTTTCACACCACACATATAGTTAAGGTTTTTTAAACTCAGAACAGTGGTTCATATATAGGAAAATTCAACAAACAAACACAGTGAATATATATACTAGAAATAGAGGAGCTTTAGTATAGCTATGGGATCATGGGTAAATCACATTACTAATGTATGACTTTAACTGCTAATGGAACACTATCAACGCTTTTATCAGTACCTAAGGCTTCAGCAATTAATAATCTCTGAACCTAGAGGTAATTACTCACTCCCCTCAAGCTTATTCCTTGTCTTACCAGAGGATTAACACAGATCTATTTCAGCAAAATGTGGTTTAAATTTTTCTTAGAATCATGCTTATTGAGTAAACACAAGATATTCCTTTAATTTTAAACTAAGTTACAGACATATCTGAATTTAAATAACCTGCCCCCCTCACCTCTAATGTGATTCTGTTAAAATAAATGGTGTGGGACAATGGTTTATATTCTGTCAACTATATTTTAAATAAATGCTGATTGGCCAGTAGCCAGGAAAGAAGTATAGGTGGGGCAACCAGTCAGGAAGTAGAGGCTGGTCAATGAGAACAGGAGAATTCTGGGAAGAAGAAACTCCTGGTTGGCAGTGTGACCCCAGCCACAGAAAAATCTAGAGGTGATTGCCCCGCTGAATAAGGTACTGGGCCACATGGCTAATACAGATAAGAATAATGGGCTAATATAAGTTATAAGAGTTAATAAGAAGCCTGAGCTAATGGGTCAATTAGTTTATAGTTAATGTAGACCTCTGTGTGATTTCTTTGGGATTTAACAATTGTGGGACCCGGGCAAGACAGAAACCCCAACAACACATAAATTACAAAGTAATAAAGGTGAATATTCTTCCACAGTGTGAAAGTAGGATGCTAACAGATTCCCTTTCTTCATTTATTGGACACTTAAGCTTTCTCTCTTACTATTCATTTCAGGCAATCCTAAGAGTTTTTTTGTTGCTTTGAGTATATTTTTAAAATATATGAATATATACATATATATGTAAATAAGTTGGTAAAGATGCTTGGCAGTTGTTTATTATGTAATGGTACCTAGGAGTTTTATTTACCCATGAGAAAGAATAAGTAAAGTTAAATTAATTTTAAAAGGCACCAATAAAATTTTATCATATTTATCCTTATGAAATCTACAATTAAAAGAACAATTTGGACTCTAAACACAAGTTCTATTGATTTCTCTTTTTATACTGATCAAAGGTGGCCACGGTGAGAAGAAATACCAGGGCAGCAGTTCTTCAAAGTACACTTGAGTTTTTGTGGCATGGCTTTACCCTGGCAAAGTACAATTTCATAAGAAGTATTTGCTATACTGTTGTAATGTTTTGTATAATGAATATGGAGACAATATCATTGTGCCTAATCTTTTAGAACTAATATAAATTCACATGCTGAAGGGTTTTCAGAAATGTCACATATTAGGAGACAAAAGCAATCTATCTTTACTTTTCAACTTCACATATCAAGACACAGAGCAAGAAAATTTTTCATTAATGCAAAGGGTGTTTGAAGACACAACTCTACATCACAGAAGGATCAATTGCTTTGCTAACAGAGGGCCGGACCTAAGCCTTTTTTAGAAGGGAGCCTTAAGGGCATCACTGAGGGTTAATAATAGTTTTGGGGTCCATTAGGGGCCACTCTTTTGAGTAGGTCTCTGTCAACATTGTCTAATCAAGGCATTCTATGATTTATTATGCCCTCCCCAAACTACAGGTATGGTACGACCTGAACTTTCAGATCATGAGGCTAAGATAACTTATTTTGAGCTAGTAAGAAAAGAAAGTAACATTTTGTTTGTAGTTTTTTGAACATCTCTACTGTACATCTGAGTTACAAAAAGAAACAATTACAAAATCAATGTGTAGCTTATAGTGAGCAGGAAAACTTCTAGTATTCAGTTGCCGGAGCCCATAGTCACTAAGGACAGAGCATATCATAATAAAACTCTCCACTCACCAACTAGACATTATAACTCTCGAGTTTTACTGTTCTTGGTATCATTGTAGAATAATTTTCTTAACATGCAGATTATTATTAATGCTATATATTGAATTCATCCACCATTTTCTCTTTGTTGCTTCCAGCTTTACAAAAACTTACTTTTTAATGTGTCTCTACCCACTGCCTTATTCATCATTTTCAGACATATGAGTACTGTTTTCATATTTATAATACTCAGTACACTTACTAACATTTACATACAAAAACATTTTATGCCCCCCCATACACACTCACATGCTATTTGAAGACAGTATTAGAATTTAGCATTTAGGAAGAATTAGCTACATTCATGTTTTTATCTTCTTTAGAAATGTCATCATCGGGCTAGAGAGATGGCTCAGAGGTTAAGAGCACTGGCTGCCCTTCCAGAGGTCCTGAGTTAAATTCCCAGCAACCATATGGTGGCTCACAACCATCTGTACTGGGATCTGGTGCCCTCCTCTGGCATGTGGGCATGCATCGAGGCAGAATGTTGTATACATAATAAGTAAATAAATGTTAAAAAAAATTAAAAAAATGTCATCCTGATACTTTGTTACTATAACATTGATTTCTGCTTTAAATCCAATTATTTATAATCTCCACAAGGTTTTTAACTGAGAAAGTACATGCTCAAAAGAGTTGACCCTTGAGAATTCTATTAGCATATTAAATACAGTGTTGGTAGAAGCATTGCTGGAGCATGCAGCATTCTGTACAGAAGAACATTAAACTGATGAAATAATGGATAATACATATGTATTTGAAGGAAAGAAACATTGAAAAATAAGCCTCTACAAGATCAGGTATTTTTGTTTGTTTTTTTTTTTTACTTTTATGCTATGGTTTTCTTAATGTTCATGTTATGGAGTTTATATGATACTTGAAGGGTTGTCCAAATATTTGAGAAAAAAAGAGTTAATCTCTTAAATTTAAAACAAAAGTTCCAACAAAAACACAAACTACAAAAACAACAGTAAAACTTGGATGGATATATTTGGGCCCATAAATTCCAATGGAAGTGGTTTTGTGAATATAATTCCAAATAGTAGCAGCTGGTGGCTGAATGGCCTCAGCTTGTACAGCTATGACTATGTACATTACGTGGCTCAGATCAAGAAACTTTGCTTGGATGGTGTCTTTGTAGACATAGCAGTTGTTCAGTGCTTGGAAAGGGCCTTCTCTGTCCAGGCTGTATAAACACACCATTTTTGTCATGACTTGGCTCAGGGGATCTATTTTTACTTCTGCTCCAATTTTCATCTCCAGCAAAATAGCTCTTATGGTTTTAGGGTTGCTTAACCTTATTTCCAAAAGAGGGCTTACAGTACAGGAGAGATTATGGTTCAGCTTTGGTGGAGGATCCAGAAATGCTCTCAGAGATACCTCCTGAAATTCTCCTATGGTTATGTTTCCCTGGGGTACATGAACAATGATGTCTGAGTCAGGTAACTGAACTGACCCTCCTTGGTGGTTTAATTTACAAACTGCAATGGTCTCTGGATATTAATCTACAAACTTTCGAACACCTGATTTTTGACAAAGAAGCAAAAAATATTTAGTGGAAAAAAGAAAAAATATTTAACAAATGGTTCTGGCATAACTGGTTATCAACATGTAGAAGAATGAAAATAGATCCATCTCTCTCTCCATGAACAAAACTCAAGTCCAAATGGATCAAAGACCTCAACATAAAGCCAGCCACACTGAACCTTATAGAAGAGAAAGTGAGAAGTACCCTTGAATGCATTGGTACAGAAGAACACTTCCTAAATATAATCCCAGCAGCACAGATACTGAGAGAAACAATTAATAAATGGGACTTCCTGAAAGTGAGATGCTTCTGTAAAGCAAAGGACATGATCAATGAGACAAAATGACAGCCTACAGAATGGGGAAAAAATCTTTACCAACCCCACATCAGACAGAGGTCTGATCTCCAAAATAGACAAAGAACTCAAGAAATTGGTCATCAAAAGAACAAATAATCCAATAAAAAATGGAGTACAGACCTAAACAGAGAACTTTCAACAGAGGAGTCTAAAATGGATGAAGACACTTAAGGAACTGCTCAACATCCTTAGTCATCTCTGAGATTCCATCTTACACCTGTAAGAATGGCCACATTATGACAACTTGTGCTATGGACGACTTATACTATAGAGGATGTGGGGTAAAGAAACACTCCTGAATTGCTGGTGGAGTGCACAGCCCCTTTGGACATCAGTGTGGTGATTTCTCAGTAATATCACTTTTGGGTATATAGCCAAAGGATGCCCCATCGTGCCACAAGGACATGTGCTCAACTATGTTCATAGCAGCATTGTTTGTCATAGTCTGAACCTGGAAACAATCTAAATGCCCCTTAACTGAAGAATGGATAAGGAAAATGTGCTACATTTACACAATGGAGTACTACACAGCAGAAAAAAATAGCAATATCTCAAAATTTGCCGGCAAATGGATAGAGCTAGAAAACATCATATTGAGTGAGGTAACCTAGAACCAGAAAGAGAATTATCATATCTACTCACTCATAAGTGGTTTTTAAACATAAAGCAAAGAAAGCTAGCGTACAAACCATGATTCCAGAGAACCTAGTCAACAATGAGGACCCAAAGAGAGACATACAGGGATCTAATTATTATGGGAAGTAGAAAAAAACAAGATCTCCTTATTAATTGGGAGCATGCGGGCCATGGGAGAGGATTAAAAGGGAGAGGAGAGACAGGGAGGGGAGCAAAGCTCAATAAAATCAATTTAAAAAGAAAGCATTTATCTTTAATGTTATTCTATTTCTGATAGCACTTGTACTTGAGAATTTTGTATATCTTCCATAGCAATTTTTAGAGGCAAACATTCCATATGTATAGGAAATCATTTGACTTAATTACACAGCAACGTTACCATATTATAAATTCTTGTACCTGTAATATGATTTTTTGAGAATTTTGAGACTTCCATGTCAACCAAATTTCCTTCAGATCTACTTTGAGCAATTCCTCTTGGCCAGCAATAGGCTCTTTCACTGATTAGCATTTTGCCATCTACAAAGCAATTAGAGGATATATTTATTGTATGAATATATAAGCAGGTTGACAAAGGAAACAACCTAAAAAATGGTTATTCTTATTTAAACAGAAAATGTCATGTAAGTATCTATACAGAGATAGGCAGTGGTCACTCATGCCTTTTCCCAGCACTCAGTAGGCAGAGGCAAAAGGATTTCTGTGAGTTAAAGGCCAGTCTAGTATAATAAAGCAAATTCCAGGACAGCCAGAGCTGTGACACAGAGCAGAGGTCTCTGCTTCTACTAAATGTCCTGAAATGAATGTAATTGCTATTTTGAAAAATATTAATTCTAGATTAACCCCAAACAATGAATTTACTGTGGAAATTCATATGTCAATATAAAACAGCCAATAAAAGCCTGAGATAAGAGAAAGAATAGTAAGTTGACATGTTAATAAATGGATAATCTCTGATGACTAGAAAATTAAATAAAACTAATCTGAAAAATCCCAAATTCTTCTACATGTTCAATGCAATCCCAAGAAAAATTACATTAGATATGTATTATATGTCTATGAGTATATTTGTAATTTCTCTCTTTTATTTTTAATTGAAGTCAAAATTGCTAATAGTTATCATACAAAATATGCTGTTTTTGAAGCATGTTGTTTCAAAACATGTTTTGTCATTGAAAATGCTTAAGACAAATGCTAAAGATAATAATTCAGATAGTGCTCACTGCCTGTTAGGTATCAGCATTTATTATAAATGTGCACTAAGGAATATAATGTGAAATCAGAACAGAAATATGCCAAGGATACAGAATTAACACCCCAGAATGAATCTCACACTCATATGAAATCTTGATATCTACCTGGCTGAGGCAGCCATGTGGGTGTCATGAATCATTGGTTGTCCATGTCAAAAGCAATAATATCCCTTTCCCCTGTCCAATATCTTCCTATGTAACCCTCTGTTGAGGGAGCAGCAGGGCTACGTTCCTGGCACCCGGCCGCCCGCACAGCTAGCTTTATCTGAAATAATTACACAGAAACTGTATTCTTTTAAACACTGCCTGGCCCATTAGTTCCAGCCTCTTTTTGGATAGCTCTTACATATTGATCTAACCCATTTCTAATACTCTGTGAAGCACCACGAGGTGGCTTACCAGGGAAGATCTTAACCTGCATCTGTCTGGAGTGGGAGAATCATGGCGAATGCCTGACTCAGCTTCTTTCTCCCAGTATTCTGTTCTGTCTACTCCACCCACCTAAGGGTTGGCCTATCAAATGGGCCGAGGCAGTTTCTTTATTAATTAACCAATGAAAGCAACAGATTAGAAAGAAATCACTCCCACATCAACCCTCGATGGCCTGTAACTCTCTGTGTAAACCAGACTGGACTTAAACTCAGAGGTCCACCTCCCTTTCCCTCCAAGCACTGCGGCATCGAAGATGCTATGAAGGAGAAACAGAAAAAAATGGAGGGAGGAGTGAAGGTAATTCAGAGAGGAGGGATAAATAACACCAAAGCTTTGAAAAGGCCATAAGGAATCATATTATTTTATGTTTACTTTAAAATTATGTATATATAAATTACACATGTATATAGTTTAAATGAACTTATAGCACTTCGGAGGATAATGCTCCCCCAAAAGCCATAAACGTCTAAGAAAACTTCAGTGCCAGGACTGGGAAACCTTTTTTTTGAGTTGTTGGTCAAAGGAGTCCCAAAAGCACCCTAACGATATAAATTAGTACCATTGCCCTTGGTTGCCTCCTAGAAATTGAAAGTAAAATCCTATTGCTAAAGACATAAGACACTTAAGATACAGGAGAAATCAGTTAAATCTGACTTGGAAGCCTCCTTCCTAAGTGTTAATTCTCATAATACTACAAGGAGCTATGCAAGCTGCCCAAGGAAAAAAGCAATCAAGGTGTAATATTGGTACTGAGGATAAGCAACAGTCATCTAACTGGATTTAAGGCCTACTTAACAGAAGGGAGTTTATGCCAGACACTATAAACCGATCCTGCTGAAGCCTGTGACCCCAGAGGACAATGTATGACCACAACTTTCCTAAACCTGTATAATTTCTAACTGCTTATGTAGTGGATTACACTGACATATTTTGTATGTTGTACCCCTGTATCTCTGGGAGGAAGCCTACTTGATCACAGTGGATAATTTTTCTGATGTATTCTTGGATTCAGTTTGCCAGTGTTTTGTTGAGTATTTTTCCATCAATGTTCATGAGGAAAATCGGTCTGTAATTCTCTTTCTTAGTTGTGCTTTTCTGTGACTTGGTTATCAGGGTAAATGTAAAAAGAGTTTGGTAATACTCCTTCAGTTCCTATTGTGTAGAACATTTTGATGAGTATTTGTAGTAACTCTGTTTTGAAATTCTGATAGAATTTTGCACTGAAATCATCTGGTCCTTGGCTTTTTTGGGTGGGAGAGGCTTTTGATGACAGCTTCTATTTCCTTAGGGGTTATAGGTCTATTTAATTTGTTTATCAGGTCTTGATTTAATTTTGGTGTGTGGAACATATCCAGGAAATTGTCCATTTCCTTTAAATTTTCCAATTTAGTGGAGTAAGTTTTTGAAGTATGACCTGATGATTCTCTGCATTTCCTCTGTGTCTCTTGTTATGTTCCCCTTTTCATTTCTGATTTTGCTAATTTGTGTATTCTTCTCTGCCTTTGGTTAGTTTGAATAAAGGTTTGTCTATCTTGTTGATTTTTTTTTTGAAGAACCAGATCTTTGTGTCATTGAATCTTTCTATTGTTTTCTTTGTTTCTATTTTATTGATTTCATCTCTCAGTTGGATTATTTGCTGTCATCTGCTCCTGGGTGCATTTGCTTCTTTTTGTTCTAGGGCTTTCAGATGTTCTGTTATTTCACTAGTATGAGATTTTCTCCAACTTCTTTATGTAGTCATTTAGTGCTATGAACTTTCCTTTGTGGACTGCTTTTATTTTGTCCCATAAGTTTAGGAAGTCTTTAATGTCTTTCTTTATTTTTTCTTTGACCCAGTGGCGGTTCTCTTGAACATTGCTCAATTTCTATGAATTTGTGGGTTTTCTGCAGTTAGTGTTGTTGAATTATAACTTTTAAGTCATAGTGATCTGATAAGATACAGGGGTTATTCCATTTTTTTTTTTTTGTATCTGTTAAGGTTTGTTCGTTATTGAATTTGAGGTCAAACTTAGAGTAGGCTCCATGGGGTACTGAGAAAAAGATGGACTCTTAGGGTTGAGAGTAATGTTCTATAGATGTCTATTAAGCTCATTTGAGAAATGACATCTGTTAGTTCCTTGATTTCTATCAAGTCTCTGTTTGGTAGACCTGTCCTATGGTGAGAGTAGAGTGTTGAAATGTCCCACTATTAGTATATGGGATTTGAGGAATAATTTAAGCTTTAGCAATGTTCAGTTTAAGTTTTAGTAATCAATAACATAAACAAAAAGAAAAAATCACATAATAATCTCATTAGACTATGAAAAGCCTTTGACAAAATCCAAAACCCCTTCATGATAAAGGCCTTGGAGAGATCAGGAATACCAGAAACATTCCTAAATATAATAAAGACAATATATAGAAAGCCAATAGCTAACATTAAACTTAATGGAAAGAAACTCAAAGCAATCCCATGAAAATCAGGAACAAAATAATGCTGTCCATTTTTTCCATATCTATTCATTATAGTACTTGAGGTGCTGGCTTGATCAATAAGACAACAATAGGAGATCAAGGGGATACAAATTAGAAGGGAAGAAGTCAAATTCTTGATATTTATGGATGACATCATAGTACACATAAGTGACCCCCAAAATTCTATGAAGAAACTTCTACAGCTGATAAACACCTTTAATAAATTGGCAGGACACAAGATTAACTCAAAGAAATCAGTAGCCATCCTATATATAGATGATAAATGGGCTGAGAAAGAAGTCAGAGAAACATCACCCTTCACAATAGCCACAAACAACATAAAATATCTTGGGGTAATACTAACCAAACAAGTAAAAGACCTTCTTGACAAGAACTTTAAGTCTTTCAAGAAAGAAATTGAAAAGGATACCAGAAAATGGAACGATCTCCCATGCTCTTGTATAGATAGGATTAACACAGTAAAAATGCTAATCTTACCAAAAGCAATCTACAGATTCAATGCAATCCCCATCAAAATCCCAACACAGTTCCTCACAGACCTTAAAAGAACAATACTCAACTTCATATGGAGAAACAAAAAACCCAAGAGAGCCAAAACAATATTCCTGTACAATAAAGGAACTTCTGGAAGTATCACCATCCCTGACTTCAAGCTCGATTACAGAGCTACAGTAATGAAAACAGCTTGGTATTGGCATAAAACCAGACAGGTTGACTGATGGAATCAAATCAAAGACCTGGATATCCATCCACATACCTATGAACACCTGATTTTTTACAGAAACTCTGAAACTATGAGCTAAAAAAAAGAAAGCATTTTCAACAAATGGTGCTAGTATAACTGGACATCGGCATGTAGAAGAATGCAAATAGATCCATCTCTATTTGTATACCATGCACAAAACACAAGTCCAAACGGATCAAAGACCTCAACATAAATCCAACCATACTAAGAGTCATAGAAGAGAAAGTATACTTGAACGCATTGGCACAAGGGACCACCTCCTAAATATAACCCCATTACCTCAGGCACTGAGAGAAATAATTAATTAACAGACAATCCTAAAACTGAAAAGCTTCTGTAAGACAAATGACATGGTCAACAAGACAAAATGGAAGCCTTTGGAATATGAAAAGATCTTCACCAGCCCCACATCTGACAGAGGGCTGATCTCCAAAATACAAAAAGAACTTAAGAAACTAAATACCAAAATACCAAATAATCCAATTAAAAAATGGAGTCTGATTTAAACAGAGAATTCTCAACAAAAAAAAAACAAAAACAAAAACAAAAAAAAAACTGTGAATGCCTGAACAACATTTAATACATTGTTCAGCATCCTAGCTATCA